CACTTTAAAATTTTAACAGCTAAAGACAAGTTTGTGATAAAAGGTCTATAGTGAGATAAAAAATATATATTTAAAAGCTGTAAGTAAAAGAGATACAATTTTGACATAAAAATTTTTGTATGTTTGTCTTGTTAAAAAGATAAAAAAATATACAAGGCCAGAAGGCCTAGGTATGTTAAAAGATGCGGGAAAGTGATTTATCAAAAAATATGTATGTTTGTTTGTTGGTTTCAAGTTTGTTATAAAAAGTTTAAATATGTTTACATTGGTTGTCATCAAAGGGTTCAATTCTAAATGTGTTACTATAATATGTGTACATTGGTCATCTTCAAAGGGTTTAAGAGCCAACAGGTTACAATATGACCTCCTCCTTTATAGTGAGTTAGAAAAAAGACTGTTGGAAAAAGGTACAAAAATGTCAGACCAAGGTGAGGTGCGGTATTTGGGATTTGACTTAAAAAAAAGACAAAGGAGGCTCGGTCCACAGAAAAGGAAAGTCATTTATTCTCTGCCAAGACCCCTCCAAAATGCTTCAGTTATTTGATTCCATCTTTGCTACCCATTGTCCTAATTGGGAGGACTGTAAAGAACTTTGTAAAACTTTGTTAACCTCTAAAAATGCAGAGAGTTTTAGGAGAAATTAAAAAGATCAATGCTCCTAGAATGCCGGCAGGCACACAAAATCCAGGCGCTTGGCATGAACAGCAATTTCCAGTGAATGAGCAGCCCAATTGGAACCCCAACACCCCAGGAGGCCAGGACAGCTTAAGCAATTATGAGACAGCCCTCCTGGCAGGGATACGAGCCTCCAGTAAACCACCTACAAATATGATTAAAGTACTAGAAACACAGCAGGAGCCCAATGAGAGCCCTGAGAGATTTTATGAGTAGCTCTGTAAAGTTAGCAGAATGTATACACCTTTTGATCCTGCTGTTCCTGATAACCATCAGTTAATCAATATGACTTTGTGACCCAGTCAGCTCAAGATATTAGAAGAAAATTCAAGAACAAGGAACTTGGGAGGGTATGACTATAACAGTTGCTACAATTGGCTAAAAAAGTGTCTGTGAAAACAGAGTCAGTGAGAGAGAAGGAACGGGCGAAGAGGAAAGATGAAGGAGATGAGAGACAGCTGAGGGAGTTCCTTGGGGCGACAGGCTTCTGTAGAATTTCGATTCCTGGTTTTGCATAGACCACTAAACCTCTTTATGAAGCTCTAAAGGAAAAAAAATCATTAACTTTGGGCTATAGAAAAAAAAAGGCTTTTAGGCGACTACAACTGACCTTAGCAGCTGCCCCTGCTCTAGGCATGCTGGATGTAAAGCGGCCTTTTGTTCTTTATGTGACTGAGAAGAACCGTGTGTGTTGACCCAAGAAGTAGGCCCATGGAATCAACTGGTGGCATATTTGTCTAAGAATTTAGATCCAGTAGCAAAAGGATGGCCTCCTTGTCTTTGGGCCTTAGCAGCTTCAGTTCTGCCGATCCAAGAAGCAGACAAGCTGACTTTAGGTCAGGAACTAACTGTGCAGGTTCCACACGTGGTCCTAGAACTGCTGAACACAAGGGAGCATCGTTGGCTCTCAAATAATCAGGTTACTCAGTACCAAGCCCTTCTCTGTGAGAACCCCCGCTTACGGTTTATTCCTATAAAATCTTTAAATCCTGCTACCCTCTTGCCCATGGTGACAGGCCCTCCCAACCATGACTGCTTGAGTGTCACCCATGAGCTCTTTTCCAGCCTCCCTGACCTACAGATGACACCCTTGTCCGATGCTGACCTCGTTCTGCTCACGGATGGCAGCAGCTTCATGGAAGATGGGGTTCATCATGCTGGATATGCGGTAACCACAAAGGATGAGGTGGTCCTAGCCAGGGCCCCTTCCTTAGTTGGCACAGTGTGATAAGGTCTGGGCACTCATACAGGCACGCCGATGGGCAAAGGGTAAAAAGGTAAAATATATACGGACTTTCGCTACGCATTTGCTACATTACACATCATTGGCATGATTTGCCGAGAGCAAGGTCTTCTCATGGCAGAAGGGAAGCTAATTAAAAATAAACAGGAAATTATACAGATGCTAGAGGCAGTGTGGGAACCTAGCAAAGTCACAGTAATACATTGTTCAGGACATCAGAAAGGCAAAGACTTCATTGCACAAGGTAACAACAAAGCTGATGCTGAAAGCCGAGAAAGACACCGCACTCAAAGCCCTCCCCTCACCACTCCGGAGGCTGGTGAGGCAACGCACGGCTGAAGGATGGGAGCCCCAACAAGGCCGACATGGGTTATTGTGTTGTGCGATCACCACTGCCTTAAGCTTCCTTGTTTTTGAATTATGGGTGTTTAGGCCTAGTTATGAAAAGTTTGATGAACACTATGTGACTTTTAAAATGGTAAAATGGGAACCGGAAGGCTATCCGTTTACAATAGTCTTTGATAAAAACATTACGGGGGACCTGGGGTAGCTTCTGACTGTGGGGGGCTATTCTAATGAAAAATTATATTGCAAAGAGAAAACCCAAGTTTGGATCAATGGCTCCCTTGTTGGACGAGCCACTGGTAACTGTAACAATTGTAAACAAGGTCAGTGTAATCCTATATCTATGTATATGCCAGCCCCATGGGATCTTATTTGGCTACAAGGAGTAATATATTTCATTAGGACAAGAAATTTAAAAAGATCTTGAGGAAATTCGAGACGCACTTCAGGCTTTAGAAACCCAACTAGATTCACTGGCCAATGTCATTACAGAATAGGTATGCTCTCGATTTGCTCACAGCCCAGAAAGAAGGGACTTGCTTACTTCTTGGTGAAAAGAGTTGTTAATATGCTAATAAATCTGGTGTAGTACAAGAATCACTAGGCAAACTACAAGATCAGATCAAGGCTCTCGGGAAATGTGGTACAGGAGAGC